CGAGCTTTTCTTTTTATTTTTTTTGAGATGGAGTATTGCTCTGTCACCCAGGCTACAGGGCAGTGGCATGATCTCGGCTCACTGCAACCTCCGCCTCCCCAGTTCAAGTGATTCTCCTGCCTCAGCCTCACAAATAGCTGGGACTACAAGTGCCTGCCACCGCGCCCAGCTAATTATTGTAGTTTTAGTAGAGACGGGGTTTCACCATCTTGGCCAGGCTGGTCTTGAACTGCTGACCTCGTGATCTACCCGCCTCAGACTCCCAAAGTGCTGGGATTACAGGCATGAGCCACCGTGCCTGGCCTCTCCAAGCTTTTCATGGGAATAGAAGAGTATCTTAACACACAAGCAAGCATTTGTGTTTTCTTTTTTCTTCCTTTTTCTTTTCTTTTGAGATGAGGTCTTGCTCTCTCATCTAGGCTAGGATATAGTGGCATAATCACGGTTCACTGCAGCCTCAACCTCCCAGACTCAAGTGATCTTCTCACCTCAGGCATGTGCCTCCACAGCTAGCAAACTTTTTTGTATTTTTTATAGATATGAGGGTCTCACTATGTTGCCCAAGCTGGTCTTGAACTCAAGTGATCCATCCACCTTGGCTTCTCAAAGTGCTGGGATTATAGACATTTGTGTTTTATGAAGTCGTGTCTCACAAACTTGATGGTCTAGTGGCTACTTTGGTGAGTCCGAAAAATCAACCAAACAAAAAAACAGAAAACAAAAAACCCTTTTAAACTTTTCTATCCTTTTCTAATAGTCACTGCATAGCATCTTCCCACGTGTAAAGGTGTATCCTTTGAACTTTAGCAGGTGACGTGGGCATGAGTCTCTGTACCTCATGAATTCCTCAGAATTCTATGTCATTCTGAAATGTTGACCTATTTCTCTTGCTTACTGCTGAGGCCAGTAAACTAGCTGTCTTAGCATCTCACCTCTTGTGGAATATCTCTGGCAAAGCCCGTTTCCAAGTGTCTTGCATTAGTGGAGATGTGTGTTGTATGGTGTCCTCATCAAGAAAAAACACACGTTTGCTTGCTGAAATTTTAGACAATTTCCTTCTAACAAAAGCCCTTGCCTGCCTATCTTTAGAATCCCAGCCTGGGGTGGGCGCGGTGGCTCACATCTGTAATCCTAGTGCTTTGGGAAGCTGAGGCAGGATGATCACTTGAGGCCGGAAGTTCGAGACCAGCCTGGACAATATAGTGAGACCCTGTCTCTACAAAAAATGTTTAAAATAAATTAGCCGGCATGGTGGTACGTGCCTGTAGTTCCAGCTGCTCTGGAGGCTGAGGCAGAAGGATCGTTTGAACCCAGGAGCTCAAGGTTACAGTGAGCTATGATTGTGCCACTGCACTACACTCCAGCCTGTGCAACAGAGACCCTGTCTGTAAAATAAGTAAATACATAATTAAAAAATTAGAATCCCAGCCTGACTTGTGACTAAATTCAATCACTAAGTGGTGAGAGATGCTAACATTAAGTGCTGGTATATATGCTGCTTCATAGATGGCCTTTCTGACAACCATATGTTGTGAAACTATTTGATCCATGTGGCCCACCAGTAGGAAAAGGCATTGTAGTCAGCACTGTCAAGAGATCAGGCAGAAGTGTAACATATGTATATTTTAAAGAAGGAGCAACAGTTGGGAATGGACAAAAGACACAGCCAGGGCACCCTCAGAAGCCTGTAATTATACTAGTAACCAAACCTTCCCATAGGAGAGCTCATTTTCAGAGAGGTGAAACTGAATCTGAAGACACGTTTCTGAGACATGAATACTGAGATTGCTTTACCTAGGCATCGGCGATAAAACATCTTATGTTGATCACATCTTTCCCAGAGACATCAGAAAAGAACATGACTCACCTCATTGGTGTAAAAAGGACACTCTGCTTCCCTTCCTAAAACCTTCCATGGTGTTGTTCCGCTTTTGGTTCTGAATTATAGAAAGATGAATATTTTTGCCCCTGAGCCAGGAAGGCTGTGTGCCACGTGTCTTTTACACAGCAGCTACATTTCACAAAAGAGTGTTTTTTACCTGATTTTTCCTGTGGCATTTTACAAATTTGCTCTGGACTTTCTAACATTCATTTCTTCTGTCCCTAAGGCACCATCACGAGTCAGAGGGAGGAAAAACATTAACTTCACTGAAGCCTGGAGAAAGGTCGAATGGCATGTCCAGAATCACACAGTGACTCAGAATACCTGCCTGGGCAGCTTCTTCATCTGTTAGAAGGTTCACTTTTCAAACAGCAAGAGATATTTATTCATTTTGGAAACTACTTCTGCTGTGTTTCTAAATGGTCAACCTCTAGATTAGGGGAGGAAATCACCTAGTTTTCACTAGCTACCACAAGCCAACACAGTGAACATAAAAGCTGGTAGAAAGATTATTCCCTCAGGATAAATCTATAGTTGGTTTTCATCATGCTTGAGAAGCGTTTCTGGAAGTGAGCTCAAGCTTTGGAAATTGATTTCATAGAGCAGGTCTGTGTCCTCACGCCCACCCCACCTGCACCCCAACAGTGTCCCTGCAAGACGAATGCCCTGGAGGAGCAAGACCAACACCAATGCCCACCTGACATTTAAAAATTTTCTCATATTTGGGTGAAAGCAGACTTCAAATATCTGGGTTACCACTTTTTCAGTCTTTTCTTAGATGCTTGCATTGTAGAAAAATGTTAGGTAGAGAGTTAAGGCAATTTAACAATCACTTGCCACACTCCAGAAGTTTAGGATACCACCTTTAGGCCAGCTCATGTTTTTAATCAACTCATGATAACTATCGGTTCTAAATGAAAAGTTTCCCTTTTTATTGTTTAGCTGTGGTTGAAATTTGCATTTTTCTCTGAATCAATAAAATAATCTTAGAAGTCGGTTGGCATCTTCTCAGATTTCCCTGCTCCTGTTGGGGCACAAAAATTCCCTTTGGTTCTACTTTACCCCTTGCATGTTAAGCAATCCTAGTTCCCTTACCTCTCCTGATCCTTTCCCCTCTCCCTCCAGCTGATGGCTCCTCTCTGATCCTGCTGGGAGGTTCCTGACTACATTCTCCGGGGTAGTTCAGAAATTTACCCTCACCAGTAGCCCTCACTCTCCAAAACAAAAACCAGACAACTCTTTGTTTGGTACTTTATTAAAAATGCTAAAAATAAAATAAAGAAAAAAAGAAGCACAAAATGACTCATACACATTCCCCCAGACTAACAGGAGGAGTGACTCACCTTCCCTCCTCAGCTTGTATCACTCATGTCTTATGGATTAGGACATGGAATCATGTGTAGGTTTCTCTGCCACTTTCTAGAGCCAGTTAAATTGTAAGATCCTCAGAAGTTCAGTAGTCATAAATGATTATTAAATACTTGGGCATCAAATATGGTAATGAAATGAAAATATGTCTTCCATGAAGACACTGGCTATGACCATGACCACAGAAGAAAATCCCTGGAATCTTAACATGGTGATTTCTCATTGCTCACCAAGATGTGTGGGTTTCCCTTCACTGATGATACTCACACGAGCTACTCCTACTGCACATGACAAAAAGAACTCAAGAAGGCAAACTTTCTTTACACGTTGAAGGTAAGAGAAGCTAGATTGGTAATCGTTTCTATAGATTGATTTATCTTTTTGACAAGTTTAAAATATATACTTAAAATATAATTTAGAAAATGCTTAATCTGCTGACTCTAGAGCCTGAAGTGCAGGGTGGGGTGGGGGTGGACAGCTGCCTACTACACCAGCAGAGCAAGACTGCAGAGGTGCAGCTCTCCCTCCCACACCCTTCTCTTCAGACACCCAAAGGGTCCCATGCACCCCTGGAATCACACAACTAGTTTCTACAGATTTTAGATATGAGAAATTATAGACACTGGCTTCAGTTATTCAAAAGCAAGAGCTTGGGTTTTTTGATCCTTTAATTAAAGTTCTTGTTCCAAAAAACTGTATTCAAACACAACCTTTAACAGCTCAGTTTCTAAAAATTATTTCATAAAAGGAGGAGAGTGAACAATCCTCTATGTATATGTTCTACAGGACAAATCTTATCACCAATTACTAAAGCAGGGAAGTGCAGCTTGTCAAAAAGGCCTTACTGGAGAGGCGGTGGGGCATGGGGGACGGAGAATATGAAAATGTCATTAAGGATGAGAGCCTAGACACGATAAAAGATGCAGCACTTCAGAGCAGCCCAGCCAAAATGAGAGGTGGCAAAGCTACTTTTTTGTCTGTGAAATTTGCATTTGTTTCATTTCCTTTACCAGTGCCATCTGAGTCCCTCCAAGCCACCTCACTTTCTGTTGTCTCCATTTCAGCCTAAAGACACCCCAATTATGGTGTGCATTCCAGGTATTTCAGTCAGTTTTTTTGGGATGGGGGGGGGACAGAGTTTTGCTCTTGTTGCCCAGGCTGCAGTGCAATGGCGCAATCTGGGCTCACTGCAGCCTCTGCCTCCAGGGTTCAAATGATTCTCCTGCCTCAGCCTCCTGAGTAGCTGGGATTACAGGAGCCTGCCACCATACCCGACTAATTTTATTTATTTATTTATTCATTTTATTTTTAGTAGAGATGGGGTTTCACCACGTTGGCCAGGCTGGTCTCGAACTCCTGACCTCAGGTGATCCACCCACCTCAGCTTCCCAAAGTGATAGGATTACAGGTGTGAACCACCGAACCCGGCTCGCAGGTATTTCAATCTAAATGTCAGTTCAACAGGAAACATCAATTAAAACAAAAATGGATTTCCCACGACCAATACGAATTTCTGTGGCCACTCTCATCCCATTTCCTATCTACATCCACCAAAAAAAAAAAAAAAAAAAAAGCAAGGAATAGAGCATACAATCTCTTTTCTTTTATGTTCTCTAAGTAAACCCTGGGTTCTGGTAGGACCCTGTGTCAACATCCTGCTGTCTGAACTCTTATCCTGTTAGGGTAGCCAGATTTTATGCTTTTAAAACACCAACTAGTCCAATGTATAGTTTCGTCTATTAATGGCCACTTTTTTTTTTTTTTTAGAACATCTTAAATTTTTAATCCTTTCTTTACAGGTTACCTAGACCACTTTTAATTAAGAAAACTGTAGAAAGTCAGTAACTGCTGCAAGCGAACGCCAGGCGGTGGCACGTCGATTTCCACAGAGTCCTTCTTTTCGAGGAGGTGTCTGAATGTACTACGGGGGTCTCTGCTCACACTTGCTGGAACCAGTCGTGGCAGATTTTAGTCCACAGGTCGCTTTTCCCCATATTTCTTTGTAAACTCTTCAGCATTCTTACAGAATTTTTTACGGTCTTTAGAGTATTCTTCAGCTAGGTCAGCCCGAAGCGGGTGCTCGGGCTGCGGGTCATTCACCAGTGCTATGAGGGACTGGATTACTTGGTCGGTTTTGGTTGCTGGCTTCCAGTTTTCAGCACTAATTACTGGCAGACAGACCTGCCCCTTTTCGTCGATGTTCGGGTGATAGATCTTTGTTTTAAACGTAATCCTCGGTGGTTTGAATGGGTACTCTGCTGGAAAGTTGATTTCGATTCTGAAGGCCCCCTTATTATACGGAGGGTTGTCAGGAACAATAAGCCCTTGCCAAGTCAATAAATTAGCTTCATCAACCTGGATGTTACGGAAGTTTTCCATTCCACATTTGCGGATTTCTTCAAGCTCCTTCATCAGCCTCCTGCTGGCCGCCATCTTGGATTTGGTGCTGCTCCTTTCCCAGAATGCATCGTGGTAACGGCCACTTTTAATGGTTGCATATGTATACACTCAAATAACGTTCTGATGTGGCAGTTTGAACTTACGCTGAGCAAAGCAACTTGCCCACTGGTTGATTAGAGTGATCATTCACAATCCTACACATTATAATTCTTTTTTTTTTTTTTTGTCTAGATCCAGAGTCTCGCTCTGTTGCCCGGGCTAGATTGCAGTGGCACCCTCCCGGCTCACTGCAACCTCCGCCTCCTGGGTTCAAGCCATTCTCTTGCCTGGGCCTCCCAAGTGGCTGGGATTACAGGCACGTGCCACCATGCCCAGCTAACTTTTTTTTGTATTTTTAGCAGAGGCGAGGTTTCACCATGTTGGCCTTGCTAGTCTCGAACTCCTGACCTCAAGTGATCCGCCTGCCGTTGGTCTCCCAAAGTGCTCAGATTACAGACGTGAGCTACCGCGCCCGGCCTTACACATTATAATTCTACCTGCATATTCACCTGCTGCCTGACTGAAGACTGATATTATATCCAGATCAGATTGCTCATCTTGCATTTCACAGCACAAAGTGAGATCCTTGGTGTTTGAATTTTTTTTCCTGAGGAATTTCTATTAATCCAGTTCATGTTCTCAACAGGAAGTAATTCAGACATGGGAAATGATAAAATGTATCAACTGAGAGCCAAAGAAGATAATGAATAGAGGTCAAATATACAAATATACTTATGCAAAGGGATAGAAATAATATATTTTGGGGCATTTTCACAAAAAGTTATCACTTTAGAGTATGAATGTAAATTATACTTGTTTACCTGAATTTTCAGATATAACTCACTTTGTAGAATATTTAATATATTGAAACCTGTCATTTTAATTATAAAATTGGACTTCAATTTCTGTAGAACAAGTATTATACCCAGAACGACATGAAAACCTCAGTATGAAGGCAGCAAAACTTATTTAAAAATCACATATTTAAAGGTAAGATTATCTTTTACAATAAATTATTAATGGCACTGCTCAAAATAAGTTACGGAATATGAATGCAAAATAGTCAGAGTTATTTTTATATTTGCCATAAGAGCTAAGGAGCTTAAAAAGAAAAGTAGTATTAGAACAACAAAAAATGGGACAGCAGTCACTTGGCTTCAATAAGCCTTCTCTGCAATATTCTGTAAGAAAAGAATATACAAGTTGCATTTTTTAAAGTTACCTTGTTGTGGAAGCTTCTGAATTTTGGAAAGGAATGGTTGATTTTGATCAAAGCCTGGAAGAAACACAGACATTTTGAATCAAAATGTAACAGTATATGTAGAGAGCTCTCTAGTTGTAGATAAAATCACCACCTAAGCACAGGCTGTGTAGACCAGGACTAGGAAAGAAGTCCATCTGGCAGGAAAATAAGTTAGGATTCAGAGAGCAAGTAAGATTGTAGCAGATGTCAGGGTACAGAAAACGATTGAATAAGTAAGAATTCAAAATAGTATGTTTATATGACCTGTCTTCCCCAACTAAAAGCTCCATATGGGCAGGGATTGTAATTTTGTCCATTGCTGTATCCCCAGCTTCTGCGCCAGTCTGGCTTATAGAAGGTGTTCCATACATTCCCCCTCCCGACCCCTCACTTTTGTGTAAGCCCTGACTCGCATCCATACTTTTTTTTTTTTTTTTTTGAGAAGGAGTTTCACTCTTGTCTCCCAAGCTAGAGTTCAATGGCGTGATCTCAGCTCACTGCAACCTCCGCCTCCCAGGTTCAAATGATTCTCCTGCCTCAACCTCCCGAGTAGCTGGGATTATAGGCTCCCACCACTACGCCTGGCTAATTTTTGTATTTTCAGTAGATATGGGGTTTCGCCATGTTGGCCACGCTGTTCTCAAACTCCTGACCTCAGGTGACCCACCAGCCTTGGCTTCCCAAAGTGCTGGGATTACAGGCGTGAGCCACTGTGCCTGGCCCTTTCTTTCCTTTCCTTTCTTTTCTTTTCTTTCTTTCCTTCTTTCCTTCCTTCCTTCCTTCCCTTTTTTTTTTTTTTTTTGACAGAGTTTCGTTCTTATCACCCAGGCTGGAGTGCAATGGCGCAATCTTGGCTCGCTGCAACATCTGCCTCCCAGGTTCAAGCGATTCTCCTGCCTCGGCCTCTGGAGTAGCTGGGATTCCAGGCACGCCTGGCTAATTTTTGTTATTTTTAGCAGAGACGGGGTTTCACCATGTTGGCCAGGCTAGTCTCAAACTCCTGACCTCAGGTGATCTGCCCACCTTGGCCTCCCAAAGTGCTGGGATTACAGGCATGAAAACCCTGCCCGGCCCATAAATATTTGATAAGTGAATAAACATAAGCTGAAGTTTCAGAATACAGATTTGTCCAAGGAAATTAAGTCCCACAAGTATGTGAGGAACACCTAAACAGTACTATGTTAAGTGTCTGCATGTAATGCAAAAGTAACTGTTATCCAAGACTCAGTAATATGGCATGAGAATGCATGGCGCTGGGCGGCGAGGAGCGACTGTCTTTGGGAAGAAGGCATTAGAGATGGTATTGAATGGTGAGTGGTAGGAAAGGGAGGGACTGGAACCCAATGCCAGGCCCTGGGCTTTGTATTCTATTCCCAATCTCCCTGAGAACAGGAACCACTTCAAGTGCCTGCCTCACTATGTTTCTAGTAGGTGCTCAATAAATATCCATGAACTGATAAGTAGACAATTGGGAGCCAAGCAGTGCATCCAATGGAGCTGCAGGATCAGCATGCTGGCCAGGACCAGCCAGGGAATCAGCCAGGGCCTATTTCTTTGTTCTCTGACTCATCTAACTGAACAACTGTGGCCAATCCAGGATGGGCACTGTCAGAGTGTGGTCTGAGAACTCCTCCCCCAGGATTAAACATTAAAATGTTAACCCTCAGGCCCCATTGAGACTTCTTGAATCAAAATCCTGAGGGAGAGAACAGAAACTGGAATGTAAAGCAGGTATCCAAGAACTGGGCACTGTGCCTCATGCCTGTAATCCTAGCCCTTTGGGAGGCTGAGGTAGGAGGATTGCTTGAGGCCAGGAGTTCAAGACCAGCCTGGGCAACATAGTGAGACCTGGTATCTACAAATAAAAAATTAAAAATTAGATGGGCATGGTAGCACATACCTGTAATCCTAGCTACTTGGGAGGCGGGACCGGGAAGATCACTGAGCCCAGGAGGTTGACGCTGCAGTGAGCTATGATTGACTGCACTCCAGAAACTGAAATCCCAAGAGCAAGAGAAACAACTATTTTGGGTGGTCACTGTGGGCCAGGTACTGTTCAAGATGCTTTCACACATAGTAATTTTATTTATTTATTTAATTTTAAATTTGCTGTAAACTCTTGAGCAGACATACATATAGTAATTTAATATGCAATAATCCACAGAGGTAGTTTGATTATAACTATCTGTGTTTGAAGAAACAAGCTCAGGGATAGTATATAACTTGCTTTACACTGAATGGCAAGTAACTTTGGGGATCCAAATTCCTGAGCTTAATTTCAGAGACCACACACTCTCCTACATCTCCCGGCACCTTAGGGGAATGCAGAATCCAGGAAACCAGGACATCATGTTGTGCCTGCCTTCAGGAAGTGTACATTCAGCCTCTGGTTGGTTGAATCTGCCTAAATAAATCTCCAGAAATTGAGATTTGAGGTTTTAACATTACATAATTCTAGATCCTAGAGTGTCAAAGTCATCTATGACTTTAATAATCCTAGTAAGACGTCCAAGCACTGGGTGCAGTGGTTTGTCTAAACCAGGACTAATTTTTAGAAAATTCACATGTGCAGAGTGGACAAGTGCCTTAACAGAGTGAAGGCAGAGGTGGGGGAAGACAGCTGGAGAGGTGCAGACTGTCACCCTCACACCTAACACCGCTGTTGGCTCCTGCCAATAGTCCCACCCAGGGTGGCCGGGTCTTCTCATGTTTCAGAGAAGCCCAAAGTCCAGCTTTCCATGTGAAACATAACAATTTCACAATATCCATAACTAATTCAAAAGTTTAAACTACACCCTGCAGGCCAAACAAACAGGTCTGGAAGACAAGTTCAGGCCCATGGAGCTCCAGCATGCACCCTCTAGTTGGGAACATACAAATCCCAGCTCGTTAAGCTACATAAAGTAACTGGGACATGGTTTAGTGAAAACGGTTTCCATCAGAACCTGTCTGTGCATCTGCTGGCATGAAGGTATATCCCTACCACTATTTCTGGTTTAATTTAGGAAAACATGCATTGCATCATCTTTTGATTTTATGCAAGTGTATCAGATGTGGCCTGAAGGCCAAATTTTTGTAAATTGGGATTGCGTCTTTTTATTGCCCACCTTCCCACCGTAAGGATGCCTAATTCTGGTTTTTGAGTGATCTTTAATGAGCACTGGCCAATTTTAAATGTATGATTCCCTGGCCTTTCAGTTTATTTTTTTGAGACAAGGTCTGGCTGGAGTGCAGTGGTGCTATCTTGGCTCACTGCAACCTCCACTTCCCAGGCTCAAGCCATCCTCCCGTCTCAGCCTCCCTAATAGCTGGGACTACAGGTGTGCACCACCACGCCCGGCTAATATTGTAATTTTTTAGAGACGGAGTTTCGCTATGTTGCCCAGGCTGCTCTTGAACTCCTGGACCCAAATGATCCCCCTGCCTCAGCCTCCCAAAGTGCTGGGATTACAGGCGTTGAGCCACCACACCCGGCCCTAGTTTATTTTAAAGGAAACTAGAGTAAACTCTCTGGGGGAAGAACCTCCGGTTTAATAACACTCTGTATTGTATCTCCTTTATTGTAATTGTATTTGGAGATTTTCCACATGGAACTTCTCTGTACTGAAGCCTTAAACCTGCTGTGTTTCAGAGCAGAAGTTATCCATGTCTGTTTATCTCTCTCTGACACACATGCACAAAAACTAGATATGTGATTTACTATATATGACACGATAAATATTCTAAAACAGTAAGTTTAGAACAACAAATTGAGTTTTGTCATTGCTATTATTTAATGATTTTATCATGTTACTTTATGTAGAATGGCTATGAATAATTAATTAGGTTTTGTTGTTGTTTTTAATATCTCCACAGTCTAAATAATAAACCATTTTCCCAATATTGGCATCGCTTTAGAAGAGATTTTCTTATCTATTTTATGGCAGAGTTAAACAGGTGCCTCTCCCTGTGTCCTAAGTTTTGCAACGTGTGTGCATTTATTACGTGTCATCAAGCGAGGCAGTGCTAACCTAGCAAAGCAGAAATCACCACCAGAGCAAATTAACGCAGTGTCACCCGCTGACCGATGTTAAACGCGGCAGAGACGCACAAGCATCCGTGTGAATGGATTAAAAAGGCACTTACAGGGATGACCCGCAAAGATCCTAGTTTCAAGACACAACAAAAAGCCTCCAGGAAGTGAAGCCGGCAGGTTCTAATCTCACTTATTTTCATGGCTATGTTTTTTTAATTGTAGTTTTCCACTGTAAAACCAAAGAGCATCAAAGAACAGCCTTTCCCCTCTCCCGGAAGCCTCACGGAGCTGAGTTCCCTGAGCTGCGCGGCCGCCGGTCACGGGGAAGCTGCCCCGCGCGCGGAGCTCCCCGAGCGCCCAGCCCTGGCTGCGCCGCCGCCGCGGCCAGGGAGCTGGGCTGAGCCGGGCTGAGCCGAGCTGGGCAGGGCTGGCCGGGGCTGGCCGGGGCTGGCCGGGGCGGGGATGGGCGGGGACGGGCGGGCCGGGGCGGGGCGAGCGTCCGTAGTTATTTATTTATTTAGCGGCTGCAGGAAAGCTCTGTGGCGCTCGCGAAACCCGGAGACGCCTTCCAGGTAGCCCGGCGCTCCCGCCCGTCCAACAGTTCCCGGGCTTGGGAGAAACTAAGGAACTTGCTTCGCCCGCCCGCCGCTCCCCGGGGCCGCGTGCCCACCCGCGGCGCTCGCCCTCCCGGTTCCTCCCCACCTTCTGCCCCCACCTCCGCCCGCCCCACCTTCCCCTTCCCCCGCTTTCCCCTCTCCCCCCTCCCCCTTCCCGCCCCCACCTCCACTTTCTCTCCCCTCCCACATCCCCCGTCTGCCCCTTCCCCCTCCTTCCCGCCCCACCTCTCCCTGCTCCTCTCCCTCCTCCTCCCCTCCGCTCCTCTACTTTCCACCTCCTCCGCCCTCCCCCACCTGCCCCCCGCTCCCCTCTCCACCCCCTTTCCCCACTCCGCTCCCCGGGCGGCGGGCGGCTCCCTGGCTCCGGCGTGTACAGATTTGGGCAGAATGTGGTTCCAAGGCTGTCGGTCAAGAATTCAGAGGAGGAAAGTTTGCTGGCGGCGCCGCGGCTCACACCACTCCCCGCCCCGGGGACTGTCCTCGAGGCCTGGCCGCGCCGCCGGTGCTTCCCTTCCCGGAGCCTTCGCTCTTCCCCGGGAAGGCCCGGCCTTACATAAGGGCCCGTGCGCCCGCCCCAGTCCCGGGGGCAGCGCGCTCTGCTCTGCTCAGTTTAACGAATATTCTGCTCCTGAAACTTAGTACAGATAAAAAGGGCAGCGGTCCGTTTTATTTTAGAAAAATGAGGGCGCAAAAGGGGACTGAGGAAGAGAGGCCAGAGAACAAGACAGCAGGTTCGTGTTGGTGGCAGGTGGATGGATAGAAGGTTCCTTGAGAGCGGAATTTCCTATTTGGATGCCTGTGCAGAGGGAGGTGGCTGTAAAGATCAAGTAGCCTTGATAACGCCAAGGTGGCCTGGACAGCAGAAGCCCGGGGAAGGAAACGGGGCGGGACTTCTGCCGCCAGAAAGGATGATCACTATCCGCATCCGTATTGGGACACGCGCCTGAGCGAGGGCGCATGTGGCGGAGATGTGGGTGTGGGTCATGTGCAGGGAGCATAATGCTTGAGTCTCCAGCGGCAGGCCTGGCGTACAGCCGGCACACCATTAACAGCTAACGTGGGCACTGAGCTAAAACTTTGCCAGCTTGGTTGCATTTAATCCTTAGAACAATTGAGCCCTCCTTACTCCCATTTTACACACGGGGAGACTGAGACCTGGATGGGCTAAGTGACTTGGCCATGACCGCACAGCTCTTTGCAGCCGATGAGGACTCAAACCTCACCAAAACTCATGCTATGGGGCAACTTCGTATTTGGGAGGCGTAATACAAAAGGGTTCAGCTTTGGGGCAGAGTGAAGGGACACCGCCTCTGGAGGATAGGCAGGTAGGCTTGCCGCGGGTGGATATGTATGTCCCTACAGTTCTCTCACACTCACATTTCACCATGGACACAGCGGATCTTTACCCCTCAGGACGTTACTGAGGCGGGTTCAATTAGCCCGAGTTTCTGAAATCCTCTACTTCCTCCACAGTGGGTACTTGAAGAGCTGTCCTTTCTGGTTAACCCAAGTCTCTCTGTGGCTCTTCAGGGAAATTCCCTGTGCCCAAACAAGACTGGTATCCATGTGCAGAGTTACTGGACTCTCCAACGGGATTAAAAACAATTTCCCAAATTCCCGTTCTTCTGGGAATTCGTGAGATTCCTGGCCCACACAATATTTTATAAGGGGCCTAACCTGGAGCCTAAGGATGTGGGTGTCCAGGAGTAATGATGATGGGACGTTCTTAGTCTAGCGTGAATGTATGTCCCTTTGCTGCTGCTCCCCAGCAACTATGAAACACACCTGATACTGTTAGGCCCCTCCGATAGTTTCTTTTTAAACGGTTTCGAGATCCCACTAAGGATGGTTTTTTTTTTTGCTTCAGTTGCTATTTTTACTACCACTTAACATCTACACACTCACACGAACCCAGAAGACACCCTAATCCTCCCCAAAAGTGAGAAAGATTTGACATTCCAGCCTGCTAAGGATGTCAGTGGGAAGCCTGGTTCTCAAATCAAATGTCTACACATGTTCCCATAGAGCACAGAGAAATCGGCGTTTAAGACTCCGTGTGGTGGGATAATACCTTAGGGTGCTCTCTGATAGTTCATTTATTTCTAAACTAGTGTAGCCGCCATATTGATAATTAAATATCCCGTAGGAGCTCTGGGAGGGTCCCCTCGTGTTATCCCTTCTCCATTTTTTTAAGGGTAAGAACTGAAGCCGCCAAAAGGCTTACTATACCACACAACACCCAAGCCTTGCTTTGGGCATGGGGACAGTGGATCTATGGCTCCTCAGGATGCCAACCAAGCGAAGAAGGAAGCAAGCTCTACTCAACAGTTCCTACAAAGGAAGGACCACAGGGGAGGGGCTTCGGTGGTTCCAGGCAGCTGCTTCATTCACAACAGAATGACCATTTTCTCCAGCATGGCCAACTATCCCTAGTCTTTTTGTCATGACAGCCTAGAAGGCAGAAGCTAGAGCCAAGGCTGCTGCTAAGGAATTCCTGCTCTTACTGGGGCCTAATGTCAGGCTTTCCTTATATTGTGGAGGGGGCCCTGGAGGATAGTTAGAGACTGTCTTCCTGCTGGGCTCTGAAGAGGAGCACGAGGATCTGGTGAGCAAAATGAAGCAAAGCTTAGTGCAGTGCCTGCAGCTGACAGCCCAGTTCCCTACTGCATGCAGTTGGCTTAGGGCTGTCCCCCACCTTGGAGCTTCTTGCCACTCACGGGCTACCCTGCACATACTACTTACTGCCCAGGCCTGTCTGCCGCCACAGTACCCTGTGCCAGAGACCTTTCCTGGTCTCTGCTGGATCCCAGGCCTAGTATCACTCCTAGGGACCCCAGAGGCAAGTCCAGGCTAATATGTTCTGGGAAAACAATGGACAGTGTATGTGTTTGCCTTTTGACGTAGATAAATGATACCTGGATCCCAAGTCTGGCTCTGGGGCAGGGGAGCTTCAGGCCTGGCTATGACAGAACACTGAAGGAGGTACTCTGGGTTTTCACCACCTCTTAAATCATCTGAGAGAGAGAGAGAGCGCCACTTACTTTCACAGGCACAAGCTGCCGCTGGCTCTGTCACAAGAAGATGAACTACAAGTAATAAAATCAAGATGAAGTTCTGTGTAAATCTTTCCAGCTTACAAAAATTGTAGAAAGTTGAAGATGAAAGGGATATTAAAGAGCATCTCATTCTACCTCCTCATTTTGCAGCTGTAAGAACCGAGGCCCAGGGAGGGGGACTGGGGAAGCCGCCATCACACAGCTGCTCCGTCGCAGGGGTTGTGCTGACTTTCTGTGGCTGTTGCCATTATACCCGGCATCTTTTGACTTTTGAAAACAGTGAAGGAGAAATCAGTTCTCCCAGCATCTTCACCTCCCACGACGTTTATTGTTTCCAGCTGTTAAAAATTGGCCCTTTAAAAATGAGTCACCCTGCCAGTCACAGAGGGTCACTGCGGTGGGCAGTGCTGATTTAGAGGGCGGCAGAACAGGGAGGTGATCGGAGGCATAATTGCCAGTCTGCTCCCTGGCACCTGGGGATTTCTGTCATTCAAGTCCCTGGGTGTGTGCCCTCAGCAAATACTAACCCACAGAGTCAATTGCTAACTGCAGTCATCTGTGCATTTGCCCTCTGGGGATGGAAAGCCAGAAGAAATGCCATTTCCTAGTCTAGCTGGCCTTGGATGAGAATATGTTTTTGCCTAATGGAAGCCTTCGGAGAGTGAATAATGTGTATTTAGGACCTACAGTGCTCCCCAGGATGCTGTAAAGGGACCTGGTTATAAAGAAAAAAACCTCACAGATAACCATCTTGGCTTTGTCTTTGTCTGAGTTAAGTCCTTTTGGTTGGAAGTAATCAACTTGAGCTGACTTAAGCATTAAGGGACATACAAGAGTACAGCGGTATCTCATGAAGTGCAAGGGCAGATGGCCTCAAGGTAGCCCGAGAAGCTGCTAGGAACCTAGGCAGTCCACCTTCTCCAGCTTGCTTCTCTGCTTCATGTCTCTGCAATCTACTTTCTTCTCTGTGAGTAGCTGGGCGGAGGATAATCCCTCAACAACTATCACATCTACATCTTCTCTCCTCAAGAGATTAGCCAAAGATGAGTGGCTGTCCTCAGTCCAATACCAGATTCCTGGGAGAGGGAATTTGGTTGACCAGCCTGGATCAGGTGCACAGCTTGATCCAATTAGGTGTGCCCGGGAGAGGATTCCCTGAGACAGGTACATCTGGGGACACTGATCCTCATGAATGACCGAAGGACAGTCCTCCAGGAAAGAAGAGAGAAGAGTGGAGGTCAGACATTTCAAATGTGTATTATAGGCAACACATTAGTTACTGATACAGAAAAATGGCAATGTCTAAGTAGGGGGCTTGAGAAACAGTTCAAACATTGTAGAGATTTTGATTATTTGCCTAACTTCTGGGATGATAAATTGTCTGTTATGGAACTGTATCTTTGTTTTGTTTTGTTTTGTTTTGAGACAGAGTCTTGCTCTATTGGCAAGGTTGGAGTGCCGTGGCGTGATCTCAGCTCATCGCAACGTCCACCTCCCAGGTACAAGCAATTCTCCTGCCTCAGCTTCCTGAGTAGCTGGGATTACAGGCACCCACCACCACCCCTGGCTAATTTTTGTATTTTTAGTAGAGATGGGGTTTCACCATGTTGGCCACGCTGGTCTGGAACTCCTGACCTCAAGTGATCCACCCTTCTCAGCCTCCCAAAGTGCCAGGATTACAGGTATGAGCCACCATGCCCTGCCGGAGCTGAGCTGAACCCTTTTTGTGTGTGGGGAGGGGGTTGGAGTTTCGTTTTTTCGCCCAGGCTGGAGTGCAATGGCACAATCTTGGCTCACTGCAACCTCCGCCTCCCAGGTCCAAGCGATTCTTCTGCCTCAGCCTCCCCAGTAGCTGGGATTACAGGCATATGCCACCACGCCCGGGTAATTTTTGTATTTTTAGTAGAGACAAGGTTTCACCATGTTGGCCAGGACCTCAAGCGATCCACCCACCTCAGCTTCCCAAAGTGCTGGGATTATAGGCATGAGCC